AACACGCACATCACTTGAAGGCTTTTGCTAGTTCACATTCATCATTGAGCCGTTAAAGCGGTTAAAGCGCCTGGTCCTGCTGTTGCAATGACCGGATTCGAATACGAAGAGATTCCCGCCTATCATATGCAATGTGTATGATGCGTGCTTTTCAGGCGTATTCATGTTCGCTGTGTGTGTTTGTCGTTGAAACCTCTGAAGCAAGTGCAAAGGAGAGAATGGCCTTCAACCTTTTTTATGCTTTGCCAAAAGTTTTAAAATGATTTTTCACATTCAACCAACAGGACAAATGTAAATTAGTTTGATTGAGATTAAATGTAGATTGATTGATTGATTAATTAATTAATGAGCATTGGGTTAAATGAGCATTTACTCTAATTCATATCCTTGCTAAGAACCATCATAATCCATCAGGGCCCGCCATTAACCCTAACCCTACTAACATTTAGTATCACTTAAAGGTCTGTTTCTATTGTATTTGTCGCTAACAGTTTGTAAGTGTCACTAGTTGAGTAGTAGTAAGCTATAGTAGTCGTTTGTCTCTCAGTGAAGTGACATCTTGCATTTAAAAATATTTCCATCACTACCACAAGCGATTAAGTTTTAAAAAAGTTGAAGTGTAACGTGTGATAAAATGAAAATTGTGACGGTGTAATGGCCTAGTGGTTAAGGTCGTCTGCTGCTGTTTCGCAGCGACCGGGTTCGATTCGAATATGACAAAAAGATCCCCGCCCATCACATGCTTCGCGTGTGATGCGTCGTTTAGCACGTATTCATGTCCGGTGTTTGTGGCCTGTTGTGGGTCCCTCTGAATCTGGGCAGAGTGTAATAGACTTTTTTAACATTTAAAGAAACAATGTTGAACATAGGGGTGAGTTAATAAATTAATAAATAAATAATTTATTGAATGAATGAATGAATTAATTAAATAATTCAATAAATGCTTAAATAAATTCATAATGCAGATCGAACACGTGCTTCCCTTGTTGTTGAAGGGCATTGGCATCCATCATTCTGGATTGCTTCCTATTCTTAAAGAAGTCATCGAAATTATTTTTGCGGAGGGACTCATTAAGGTTTCTCCATTTGTTTGTTGTTGTTTGTTGATGATGATGTTGTTGTTGTTGTTGGTGGGTGTTTGTTTGTTGTTGATGCTGTAGTATGATTGTTGACAGTGTTTAGTTTTTGATGTAGTTACCAATGTATTGTTGCTTGTTTATATATCTAGCACATATATACTGATGTTTATAACTTGTATGAATAAATATATTAATATTATTATTATCATAATCATCATCATCATAAGTTATCATGGATGTTCCATATCATCCACCCACATCAAGCTGACTCCTATGTTGCTTAATATTTGTGAACATAAATTTATTGACGCGGAACAACATAAACTATCACGTGAACAACATCATTCAACATTATCATAAATAAATCATAACGTACAACAACAACACCAACCAAACAACAACTAAACACCAACTAAACACCAACCGAACAACAACTGAACAACAACCGAACAACATCCAAACACCAAACAAACAACAACTGAACAACAACCGAACACCAAACAAACAACAACTGAACAACAACCGAACAACAACCAAACAACATCCAAACACCAAACAAACAACAACTGAACAACAACCGAACAACAACAGGCTCTGTGTGCCACGGAAACGTTTGCGATGGGTCTCAATATGCCGGCCCGAACAGTCCTCTTCACAAATGCCCGCAAGTTTGATGGCAAGGACTTCAGATGGGTCAGTAAATGTTTTTTGTTGCTCTCAATCAACCATGGTTGAATGGACTATAAGCAAATATTATTAATGTAACGTATGTAATGTAACATAACACCATTACTTATTGATTACCTCCCTATAGCAATTACTAAGTGATGTAATAAATAAGTACTGGGGGCGTGTCGCGTGATTGAAATCTAATAGTAACGTAAGCATGAGGGTATCCGTTAAGTATTCTTGTACAAAGTGCTCAAATGTAAGAAAGGAATGTCTTGTTTCATATAATTACGATTGAATTCATGTTCAGCATTTCTTCCTAGGACATTTTTACAACTAGTTTTCAGGGATGGACACAGCTGAACTAAATAGTTGCCAACTAATAAATAGTTTAACTATTTTTTGTAGTTTCCTGCATAGTTTAGCTGAAAAATAGTTTGGTTAAAATGTTTAAAATGAGTTCAACTAAAATATTTCAGTTGCAAACCAAATAATTAAACTTAATTAATTATAATTAAAGATGTTTCTGTTATCCCTTCTTTTCCAAGTTATGGCGTTTGGTTTTTAATTGGGTTTTTATACTGAAAAATGCAACGCAATTCAAGTTGGATGTCAGATGAATCTTTTGCGAGCTGGTGTTTCTTCATTCTAGGATAAAATAATTATACCACATAAAATTAAGCTGACAGTAGAAGACTGTAAAAATCTTTTAAATCGAGAATATTAATAAATTTACAGTATAAAATTTTACAACATGTTTCTTTTAATTGTTATAGCCCCTTTTAAAATGTGTTATTATTTTAACAAGTTTTTTTTGTCCTAATACATTTGGTTTTATTTCCAGATATCATCGGGCGAGTACATCCAGATGAGTGGACGGGCAGGCAGGAGAGGTCTCGACGACAAGGGGATCGTCATCCTCATGCTAGATGAGAAGATCAGTCCTGAAATTGGCAAGCAGATCCTCAAGGTATGATGGCTTGCTTGCTTGCCTGCTTTTAACCTCAGCCAGATGTCATCTGAAATTTTTTTATTATATAATGCTAATCTTAATCATTAGTAATCCTTTAGATAAGGAATTGTAATGCTAATCTAAATAACTGGAATTAAACTTGTATGTTGCGTGGTTTAAATGTTGAACGATTGAAAGGATGTTTGCTTGAAACGTTGGATGATTGAAATATTGCATGATTGAGATGTAGTATGATTGAAATATGGCATGATTGAGATGTTGTATGATTGAAATATGGCATGATTGAGATGTTGTATGATTGAAATATTGCATGATTGAGATGTTGCATGATTGAGATGTTGCATGATTGAGATGTTGTATGATTGAAATATTGTATGATTGAAATACCTGCAGGGCCAGCCTGACCCACTGAACAGTGCTTTCCACTTGAAGTACAACATGGTCCTGAACATGTTGCGCGTTGAAGACATCAACCCCGAGTACATGCTCGAGAGGTCATTCTATCAGTTCCAGAACTACGAGTCCATACCTGCCATTGTTGAAAGTTAGTCATCGCGTCAAATCATTTGCCATCGTCCTTATCATTATTATCGTTCTTGTGATCATCATCCAATAATCTTCATCGCTCTAATGATGTCAGTGCGGGTCTATTTCTGTGATGGCGAACGGCCCCACAAAATGTTCCTACATGCTGAATAAAACATCATTGCTTGAAATGTTGGAGACTAACTATTAACTACAAAACTCCCATGTTCAACTTTAAGGTGATCAAGTCCCTTACGGCATACTTTTTTAATTATACGATATCGTATGCTGTAGGTGCTTTTGTTATTTCAAAGTTCGACTTGGATATACCTCACTGATTTCGTGATGTTAATGATAAAAAATTAATTCTTCTGAACGATGGATCAACAGAGATGAAGAGGGCCGAGGAATTGTACAAATGCATGGAGTTCGCAGAGGAGGAGAAGGTGGCTTCCTACTATCGCATCAAACGACCTCTGCAGAAACTGAACCTCGAAATGATCAGCTACATGCAGAAACCTCAGTACATCCTGCCGTTTCTTCAACCTGGGAGGCTTGTCAAGGTGGGCTCGTGGGTGGATGGAATGTGTCTGTACATTTTACGTGGTGTGCTATGTGTGGTTTGACAGATAACTACAGATAGTGCCATTATCTAGATGTTATGCCTTATGTAGATGTTACACCGCAGTGGCTTATTGTTTTTAACGGTGTGTCTGTCTCTTTGAATAGTTCATATTTCCTTCAGAATGTTGATTCTACGTCATTATTTGCTACTAATTATTGGTCCGTCTTCAGTCAATGTATCATCAAATGTTTCGCAGGTGGTCAGTGAAGGTGTGGACTTTGGATGGGGAGTTGTGGTCAACTTTAGGAGGAAAGCCAACCAGACTGCAAAGGTGGGTGGGCTCTACGCTTCACTTCATTCTTTTAATTCTGCTCCTATCTGTTTGCACATTATTTGTTTTTTATGTTTTGTCATGTTATTATTTCAGTTGCTGTTTTAAAGTGATGTCACAGTTTTTATTATGTTTTTAAACGCGAGGCTGATTAGTTTTTCCGTTCAAATTTTTATATTTTGCAAAATCTGGTAACCTGTAACCTTTATTTTCTTATTCGATACATTTGGACCTGGTTATTATGCTGCAGGAATGTTTATTTTGTACCATCTAAAAAAATAAAGTTAACATAACGAACGAACATGCAGGCATCGGCAGTGGAGGGTGGGCCGCCTGCTGAAGTCATGTACGTCGTCGACGTCCTCCTCCAGGTCAGCAGGGACTCCATCAGGCCAAATGACGTCAACAGCATCCGACCGTGCAGCAGCAACGAGAAGGCAGAGATGCAGGTTCCCAACCTTCTCGTTGTTAACATTTTGCGGCCCTTCTCACGCTATTGTTCGAAATACATGACGCTATGCCGACTAAATTACTGTCAACTTCAGTAATTACAATTATAATATTGATGATGATTATGATGATAATGATGATGATGATGACGATGATGATAATGATGATAATGATGATGAATAAAATATAAAGGTAGTGCCAATGAATCTGCAAGTGATATCACCAATAAGCTCCATTCGTATTTACATGCCTAAAGATCTGGTGCACGTGGATGCTCGCATGTCTGTTCTGGCTGCTCTCAAGGTTCTTTGTTTTCTGCCATCATCATTAAGACATCATCATTAGCGATAACGTCACCATTGTTGACATCAACATCATCATTACATCAGTAACATTGCCATTGTTTTATCTCACATTCAATTATATGAATATTTTATGAAGTGACATTCAAGTTGAATATCACCACACAAACTTGAAGTGGATGTGATTGTATGCATGCTGTTTATATAAGATAGGATATCTGTAATGTTTGGTGAGGCTATATATATATACATATATATATATATATATATATATAGCGCTCTTCGCATAATCGCCATAACACCTGTTGGGCAGCGCATGGCTTTCCATCTTCTCTTCTTCGGGATGTTATATTGGGCAGTGCTTGCAAACATTTTTGGCACAACATCACGCAATTCTCTCTTCAACAAGAAATCAATGCTGCGCAATAATAAATGAATTGAATGAATGAATAAATGAGTGAATGAACCAATAAATGAATTGAATGAACGAATAAATGAATGAATAAATACATGATTGGTATAATTTTACTAACTATAATACCGACACAGACTGTGTTGAAGAAGTTTCCGGACGGTTTGCCACTGCTCGATCCCATCGAGGACATGGGCATCCGGGACGACAGCTTCATACAACTTGTTAAGGTTCGTTCTGATTCCCCTCGTTACATCAAATAGTTATTGGTTGGTGTTTGTATTGTGCTGTTGTGTTTTGGATGTCTTGTTATTACTGTTGCTGATGTTATTGTTTAAATTTGTATGTACGGGTCATAACTTTTATAATTTATTTCCTCTGGTTGGTACTATCTGTTTAGAAGTATATCACTGAGTCTCTGCATCAGTCAACATCACTTCGTCTGGTGGTTGGCTGCCTCCTTCTTTGCGAACCTGCTTCCTTTCCCGAAATTATTTTGACGTCCACCTTGTTTCCAATTCAGCCGTCCTCCTACCAGGAGAGGGTTGGTTCACCTCAGGATCTCTGACATTCCATTTTTATGAATCAACAACAGTTCAACAAACAGTTCAACAAAAAAAACCTTCCTTCCTTCCAAAATTATCTCTTCGACGCCCAATGTCTTTCTAAAATTTTGTATTTAAGCTTATCTATTAAAGCAAATTCTTTTGATCCTCGATACCTTTCATCCTCCTAAAACTTTACATTGAAAATCTGAACTTTGCCTCTAAACGAATATTTTAATGCAGATCGTGTGAATCTTGTTTGCAAGTGGCCCGTGGGCGCATCTGATCAGCCAATTTTTTATACCATTTTGCATGCGTGTACACGTTCATGATCTGATGAAGCATCGTGATTTACACGCTCTTGTTATTGTGCTGTAACATTATGAATGATGTGAACCCAACAGAGAATTAAAGATTTTGAGGACCGACTGAAGAACCATGTGATACACAACAGCGAACAAGTGTTGCAACTTTGTTCGAAGTTTGAAGAGAAGGAAAAGGTATGTTGTCGTCAGTGGTGGTTCATGCTCGTGTGGTGCATCGTTTGCATCTTAACCATCACATTCGTTCACCATCACATTCGTTTACCATCACATTCGTTCACCACCACATTTGTTCACCATCACGTTCATTTACGCTCCATTATGTAGTTGTTGCAAGATATGAAAGATATGAAGAGAGAGTTGAAGGAGAAGAAGTCCTTGCTGCAGATGGTGGAGTTGAAGAAAAGGAAACGTGTGTTACGCAGGTTGAAGTACACAGACGCTTCTGATGTCATTGAGGTCAAGGGTCGAGTGGCTTGTCTCATCAATGGGTCAGTATGCTTAAAATTTGTGCTGTGCAGTGCACGTAGGAGTACAGGCGTATATGCACGATTGATCTGTATGTTGTGGTGATTGTACACTGTTTGTTATCCTCAGATCACGTGAGCAAACATTGCAGTATGCATCTCTTTCATGCAAATGTGTTTCATTTTGTGTTGTGTCTTGTGACGGCATTGCTGTTGATTCGTTATCAAAATTAATCTTATATTATGTCGTATTCTTCATGTTTATCCATGGTGTGTCATGTTACCATTTAAAAAACAGTGCAGATGAGTTGGTGGCAACGGAGCTGTTGTTTGACGGAGTGTTCAACAACCTGACTGCCCAGGAGACCTGTGCTCTTCTCAGCTGTTTTGCCTTTCAAGAGAAGTGCTCTGAGATACCCAAGTTGAGTGAAAAGCTGCTTGGTCTATTTAGGAAGTTACAGGTTTGTAATTTTTGCCGCTACTATTGTGTCGTTGGGAGATGTATGTACATGATGCTGTTACGTTGTGTTGCAACATTTTGTTTCAATGATACGTACACATACACAGACACACACATACACAGACACACACACAACACACACATACTGAACAGGACACAGCCAGGATGGTAGCGAAGGTGAGTGATGAAGTGAGGCTGAACGTGGATGAAGACGAATACGTGGACTCCTTCAAGCCAAACATGATGAACGTCGTATATGCGTGGGCTAACGGGGAATCGTTTGCACGAATCTGTCAGATGTCCGAAATTTTTGAAGGTTGGCGATGCTTACAAGGCCGTGTTATATAACGTTTCATCAAACATTTTGTTATTTTTTTTGTTATAATTATTGATTATTATGATTATTTTTGTTGTTATATTTTTATGGAATTCATTGCTATTTAATTGTTTCGGTTTGTTTGCTTTTTGTCATCTTATTATTTAGACCTAAAATTATCACCAGTGATTAGTTTTTTAACCTCGACGATGCATAATGTTGCAAATGCTCTTCTTGCACCGTAAATGTAGTACATGATTTTTGAACGCTTACGTTCTTCACAGTCCTCACAATTGTTTTAATGTTGATGATGTCCATTGAAAACGTGCAACCCACGTGATTTATATTAATCGGCGACTGACTCTCTCACACACATACACACACACTCATGGGCACACAGGTAGCATTATCAGGTGCATGAGACGGTTGGAGGAGTGTTTGAGACAAATGTTCCTAGCCGCCAGGTCCATAGGAAGTGCTGAACTGGAAAAAAAATTCGCGGAAGGTAGGTAGCATGTTGTAACATTATCATCCTTCGTTTAGTTATTTGTGTTGGCGCTAACTTTATTCTGTTTGAATTGTAAACACTGTGATGACCTATTGGATTAAAGCAATAATTTCTATCTCGAACATAGGTACCCGCCTGATCAAGAGGGACATCATATTTGCGGACAGTCTCTATTTATGACAGCTTCATCGTGCTCTCATTTTTTTTTCCAATGAACTGCATCCTCCCATCTTCGTCTTCTTCATCGTCATATCGTGTATATATAACAGCAGAGTCATCTTTGCGTCGCGTGCTGTGTAAATCAAATGGTTTTTTTTATTATTATTATTATCATCATCAAATACTGATGTGTCAACTTGAAATTGTATCTTTGTTATGACTTGTTCAAGTTGTTCATGAATTTTCAATAAAAATATGCCGAACCTTTTATTTTTATGCTTCGTTTGAAATGACGATAAACATGCACGCACACAGTAGGTGTTGTTACGAAAAAGATGTAAGGTTTGTCGTGATTCCCAGACTCTCTTTGTTACCAACTATCTGTCTGAGCTTTACAACATTCCGTTTGTAAGAAATGTATTAGATATTACATCTTATGAACAAATTTTGACGTGTAACTTGCAAAACAAACCAGAAAAGCAAATTCTTGTTCATATATATTATACACACACACACACGTATAATGATATATACAATATTGTAAGAATTCGACAAAATTGTTGGCATAAGTTTCGTCTCTAACTCCCGGGAAAGACGAAACAATCGCTGATCACGTTCTTACTCAGTTCAGTAACACCTCTGAAGGTAACTCAATTGAGGCGTTCTACAAATCTTAAACACTTTCACATTTAACAATCTGAATCATTAGAATTACTTGAAAATATGTACATATTCTTATCTGTTGACGAACCTCAGATGAACTGCTCGCTATAAAGGTCTTGGTGATTTCACTGATTATTATAGATTGTTACTACCATTTCCATTAATTATATAGAATATGACATGTGCAGGTAATATCCTTTGTCAAGTGTGCACCGTGATGGTTGGGTTGGTTCATTGAAAGCAAAATATAAATTATATTCAGATAAACGCACTGGGTATTGGAACAATTTGATCAAAATTTGTAGCAGCCAGAGGGACAGGTGGCGAATGATTAATAAAATTTTATGCAATAATCGAAGTGAGAAGTTCTCACTGAGAACTTATCGGATGCAAATGTCAGTCACACAGCTTGTGATTTTATGAAATTTTTTGCAGATAAAATTGCAAAAATTATTCTTCCTGTTAAGTCATCTGGTGTTTCGACTTCATTATCAGAAGATAGACAATCACCAACCGCTGCGTTTGAATTATTTCCTGAAATCACTGAGAATGATCTCGTGAAGATTACACTTGATTCTCCGTCTAAAACGTGTTCACTTGATACCATGCCAACATAGATTTTTAAAAAGTATTTAAAATATTTCATACATTTTCTAACAAGTTTCATTAATCTTTGCTTGCGGAAAGGCATAGTGTCAGACTATTTCAAGCATGCCACAGTTATTCCGATTCTAAAAAAAGTAGGTTGTGATGATGGGGAGATTGGAAACTACAGATCAATTTCTAATTTGCCATTTGTCTCAAAAGTAATGGAGTGTGTCGTCATGAAATTTCTACTAAACCACTTAACTAATAATAATCTTATGCCAAAATATCAGTCTGGATATTGTCAGTTCCATTCCATGAAACACAACAAAGAGGTGTTTTATCAAGTTTGTTTGCTGCAACTGAAGTTCAAAACATATCGGTACTATCATTCTTTGATATGCCATCAGCATTCGATTGTGTGGATCATGAAATATTTTTAAAGAGATTGCAGTGCAGTTATGGTGTTCTTGGAGTTGCCCATGACTGGTTCAGGTCATATCTTAAGAATCGTACACAACGGGTTGCATTTAAAAGTGTCAAATGTATCATTGATCTCATCGGGGGTGTCTCAAGGATCTGTGCGGGGACTCATCCTGTTTCTGCTTTATGTATACATCAGATATAATAAAAATAATTAGTTACTACGGATTCGTTTGTCATGCTTTTGCGGATGACATTCAGGTGCTGATCACCAGTTTTCCAAATGCATTTGCAGATGAGGTGAACAGATTTAGCAGATGTATGTCAGATGTTGGCTGTTGAATGTCAGATAATTCATTAAAGTTCAACCAACATAAGACTCAAGTCCTCCCGGTTGGGACATGGCAACAGTTATCAAGGATAAATATCACTTCAATCAAAGTAGGAGATGTAAATATATCTTTCAGTAAAACAGCTTCTAATTTGGGGGTGTTGCTGGATGATAGACTGTCCATGAAAGACCATATCAAGATGATTTCAGTTTCCAGCATTACTTATCTAAGAAATTTTTACCGAGATAGACATTTGCTTTGGAAAATCTGGTTCGTGCGTTTGTATCATCACGGCTGGACTACTGCAACAGTCTGTTTTATAACTTGCCTGATAGATCAATTGCCATTCTTCAGTCGGTTCAAAATAGGGCTGCAAAACTTGTAACTGGAAAATTGAAATTTGATCATGTAAAGCCAATATTGAATGAACTTCACTGGGTAAAGATTGAGAAAAGAATAATTTTTAAAATTGCAGTGACTGTGTTCAAATCCTTGAATGGAATGTCACCGACTTACATCTCAGATAAATTTTCCACGAAGACATCTGCATCATGTTTTCATCTGAGATCAGACAATATGAATCTTTTGGCGGTTCCAGCTAGGCATCTACGAATAAGTGCAAAAGATATTGCGGTTGCGGGTCCGACAGTTTGGAATGACTTACCAATTTCATTAAGACCCGGAACTAATTTTGTGACATTTAAAAAAATTAAAAACATATTTATTTTCTGTTGATAAACATTAAATTTGAATATTTTAATTTATTTTGATCACGCACAGATATTTTGTTTGTTTCACTTTTGATGGCGCCTTTGAAATATTCAATTTGCGCTATATAAATATTTCAAAATAAAAAAATAAAATAGAAATATATATATTGTTACAGACGTAAAATCGAGATAAAAACTAATAGTTAGAAATTGATAAGCATCCATTGAGAAATTAACCGGTTGTAAATTAATTAGAAGGTGTATGGTAATTAAAATGGTTGTAAATTCATTTATGGACGTAATAAACAACGCAGCAGCGAAATTCGACACAGAGAGAGAACAACGAAGAAGAAGACGGAACACAGTTGACGTAGAAGTGAGGCTCTATGCAAAGTCGTAAATGTGATTTACGTAGCTATTTGGATTAATTTATTGTTTCTATCACAGCTGGCATTCAAATAAACGCTCAACTTAGTTTGTTTATGATGTTTTTTATCTATCGGAAATCTTGAGCCTACGGATTGACAAACTCTTGACTATCGTTAGAAGCTACAACATGGTGTTGGAGATATAGAGATTATTGAAACTATAACATCGGGGTTGGCAGTTACGAAGTCGAGGAGGTTACAACACTGGTTTTAGAACTGGGATCTTCAGGAGATTACAACACTAGTGTCAAAAGCAAGATTTTGATAGTTGGAAACTCATTGCAGTAAAGAATGCCAGAGCTAAAAGAACTCAATATATTAGTCTGACGTGAGAAGCTTAATTATTGATGATTGGTTTTATTCCGTGATTTACCTGTCGATTAGTTATTGTGCCTTTTCTAACGATTTTAACGGTTGAATGAACGAGTGATTAATCACAGCAATACACACAAGTGATTGCCAGCACTGTTTTCATTAACTACACAACACATGACAATCATAATAAGATCATATCCCTTCCTCAACAACTCTTTTCACACTCTTGGACCACATCGTAATATGTGATGATGGAGTATATTACTTTTAGAATTGTTTGAGTAGATGAAATTATGTCTGGTATTCAGTGCCTGTATAAAGTAGCCGTTAAAAATTTTTGGCAATTTTCCAGTTAGTTAGTTAATTGACGAAAATTTAGATTGTCAGTCGAAATAAAAAATTTCTGAGTGTGGGCGAGTCTTTTCGATGCTGTCAATGTTCGTATCGCTCGTTTCATCATAATTTCAACAGGCATCGTTATTCGTTCGCCATGAGCAATCGTGTCAATTGTAGCGATTACAATTTTCATTGCGATTTCGTCCCACCCATATGACATTTTTGGTTCAAATAGTTTAATAGTTGAAATTATTTCTTTATTGAAATTATGTATATTACTTTTCTGAATAAGTTTAATTCTGGCATCAACTGTCAGCTTCAGTTTTAGTCTATAGCTTGGTTCTTTGTTCCTTTTTGTTAAATTTTTAGACATTTACAATTTCTCAGTTATTTTATATGTTTGTTTCCATTTGTATGTCTTATGTGATACATTATGTGATACTGTGAGATATATGTGATACAGTTTGACATTATATGATGTATGTGATACTTTAAGTGATACTGTGTGTGATAGTATTTTTGAAATTTCAATTAAATACATGTTAGTTTATTGGCAGGGGTATAATATTTCAAGTTTTGTATTAAGTTTAAGATAAATGTAGGCAAGCTAGTGAGGTCATTTCCACAAGTTAACAATCTGTGTTTTTTAATTCGGCTACGACTGGATTTGGAAAAATCAACTCCAGTAGATTTCTAGCAACAATATATCTTTGATTTAATATATTTTTGATTTAAAATATGAGTTTTTGACTTGCTTGATTGTTTAGTGTTTTCTTTGTTCATTTACCTTTGAGATAATAGTTTCTGTACTTTACTATAGAACTTGCACTTGAACATTTGTACTTGCACTTGAAGTGATGGTTCTCGTACTTATCACTTTCCTACTATTTAGGTTCTTCCCTAAAGTTGTGAACTGTTAAGATTCGGACTTGATGGTTTTGAGTGTTTCTTTATTTTTTGTATAAGGTAGTAATTTGTGGAATTAGACAATAATTAAACAATTTTATGGACTTTTTAATGGACTGCATGTGTTTCTTTTGTGAACGTAAAGAAATTTGTCACTTTTTCAATGCAGCTATTGCATTATTACGTTGAATTGTCTTCCTTTAACATGTTTAACTCTTCTTTAACTCTTAAAATTATTCATTGTTAAACTGTTTCTTTTGATTGTTTTTTGGTTTAAAAAAACAAAGGAGAACTAAAAATTAAAAAATTCCATGATTTAAAACGTTGTCTCAGTACCAAAGAAAATAAACTTTTGTTGTTCTTGAATTAGAGTTATCAGTTTTATTGTTGATAGTTTAATTTGTTATGTCTAGAAATAAAAAAAAATTATTTTCAATATACTAGATAAAATCGAGCAAGTGAAAGATTAGAAACAACAGAAAACGGAAAATTTAAAAAAGTTTTTTTTTGACAAATGTGGAAGAAGTGATGGTGGCCATGAAGAACATAACGGACATTTTGGAAAAGATGGAATGTCCATTCACGCCGTCTGAAACTGCATTTTGTTCAAAAAATGAAAAGCAAAGGGTAACTGTTTCATTTTTAAATGTAGAGAAATTTGTTCCTGTTCCAATGTACTGGTTGAATAATTAAATAGTGCTCATTTAACATGTTTCAACTAGNTTTTTAACTTATAATTATTTTTTAACAAAA